TTCACCCTCGGACTGTTCAGTGAACATATGTTTTAGAGGTACACTTAAAATACGAATACTATTTTATACTCAACTCTATTTAATGAATTATTTTCCTTATATGAATCTTAATATGTCCTTGCACTCTATTAAGAGCTATAATTTTTAATAAGTCCTTGAAAGATTTTAAAATTTTTATTTTGTACTCTTAATAATTAAAATTTTTCGTACTACGCCTTCAATGTATTGAAAGTGTTACAATGTAATCGTTTGTTAGCTTCCGTTATTTTTTTCATCATAAGTCAATTCATTAACATTGACGAAAAAACTAACAGAAAGTTAGTAGAAGGGTCACATTGCAATACTTTTAATAAATTGAGGGTGTAATATAAAAAATTTAATCTCCGAGAATACAAAAGGTTAATCTTAAAATCTTTCAAAATACAAAAATACAATTCGCACTAAATTTTTATCAAATCTTTTTATAATATCATTCCAAGTGAGTTTTGCTCTATGATTTGGGGCGGATTTTAAAGTTTCTTATATTTCTAACTTAGAATTTAGCTCCAACCCTTACATTTTTTAAAACCTAAATTTAAATCCGAGTAAATACATTTCTAAAAACCATCGCCAATTCTATACCTAAACTCATATCAAATAAGAGAGACTCAAATTTTATTCAAATCATTAATGGTTAGATTTTATTCACCTTTAAAGATCTAATGATTATATTTTATCCTCATTTAAATTTGGATTTTTTTTTTTATTTTTGAGTTTCTCCATTTGAGTATTTTGTATCAAATCAAGTTTTTTACCTAATTTTTTATTCAAATTTGAATAAAGGTCTAGATCTCTATTAGAGATGGTTACTTTATTTTATTCTAGAATGCTAGATCATGTTTGAGCCCTAAAGCCCGCTCCTGGGCTAACTCCGCCGTCCATCCCACCCTTTTCAATGATTTTTGAACGTTGCAGACGTGAAATTTCACTTCCTTATTCTTTTAAAAAATTGATCTCACAATATATTTACTCTAAAATTGGAGGTCCCTTATAAACCATTTCAATTTAAAAAAAAAAAAAGTGTTTAACGGGATCCTCAAACCAGTTATTCTACAAATGGCTTGTGTTTATTCTATCAAGTAACTTGTTTGTATACCCGATAAATAGAGAAAGACTGAATTCTTAATGTCCCGTCGTTGCTGCATCAAGTTGGCTTCAACCTTATAGAGTTCTTTCATTTCTCACCAACAAAGTTCTAATCTTTTCCCCAACCCAAAAAAAAAAGGGGGGAAGACAAGAAAATAAAAGGCATGGTTTCTTCTCCTAGTCTTATGTAAACAAACCAAATTAGCATTCTGATCAAATCATAATGCCACCAAGAAATGGCAGCTTTGCTTTTGGGTTCCGGCATGCCATTTCCACTAGGTGACCATTAAGTGCCTCAATGCCCCCATAATATTAATAGGAAATCTATATAATATGTATGAAATTGAGAGAGAGAGAGAGAGAGAGAGAGAATTCAATGAACCCTAGTTCATTTCATCACGCCAAATTACGTCTCAAAACCTATTGTCCTCTAGAATGTCATTTTGTATTGGTTTTCACAAGTCTCTTCTCTATAGAAATAACAACCTCTTCAAGGCAAATCTCAAACCAACAGTTTGAGTTTTCCAATCATCAAAATTTTGAGCAGCAAAGCCCAAGAATTTCTCAAACACAGCTGCTTCACTACTATAATGGCATTGATTTTGTTCATTGTTTTTTCTGTCTTCTTCCAAGGAGCTCCTGGTAAACCCACTATTAGTCCTATCCTTGCATACTTTTGAATTTGAAACGAAACTCACAATCAGTCTCACGATTCTTTCATAAGCCAAATTCACAATCAGCTACAAATAAGCATCTTGTGGCCAGGAATCGGCCGCACTATTGACCACGGAGTTCATTGATATACTAGAGTTTTGACCACACAATTCTCATTGTATAACAGTCTTGGGTTGCAATTGGGAATAAATTTTACCCCGAATTTAAAGTATCCCGACACCCTATTAGATTGCTAACTCGATATAATACCACCGAGTGGCAACCACATTAAAAGCCTAATCTAGTTTAGTTTGGTATTCTTCATTTTTCTAAGATGTTTTGAACCAGGAGACCGAGGGTCTCTCTATCTGGCAGAGAGCTGAGAGGCCATGACCCCCTCTTGACTTATTACTTTTTATTACATCTCTTAAGATTCAGCACTGTTTTTGTGTAATCATTGAGGTGGCCCCTTCCCCCATATTTTACATCTCTTCTAAGATGACCCCACTATATCTTTTTCCTACTCTCTATTAGTCCCCTAGATCGGAAATTCTGGATCCGCCCTTGATACGGCTAACCTTGTTTTATTGTTTAATATGTGATGTAGATGAAATTATATGCGAGGAATTGCCCGTTGGAAATTGCTCATTTTCAATTGCATTCTCTGGAAAAAGATGCTTGCTAGAGACTTACCCATGAAAATGATGGAACTTTGGGATTACAATGCAAGACATCTGAGGTTGTTGCCTAGAAAATTCATGAATGGATTGAGAGTGATGAATGCATCAGTGCATGTGGGGTTCAAAGGAAATCTGTTGGAATTTCATCAGATACACTACTTGAGCCTCATTTCACCTCCAAGCTTTGCTCTCCAGCATGTTATCACAACTGCCCCGACATTGTTGATCTTTACCACAATTTGGCTTTGGGAGAAGGTGATTTTTTTTTTTAATCATACAAATGTTGATTTTGATTTTTCATTTGCTCATTTTCATCTATATTAATCATTACAATAAAATCTCAAGATTGATCAAGTGATAGTTATGATCAAATCATAAGGAGTAATATGATGAAAATAGGGGTACAACTCAGATGGGTCAGGCGAGACCAACTCATGTTTAACTCAAAAGTCCCAAAACTCTCAATCTGAGTTCAAGTTGAACCGGACTTGAACATGAACCTGAACCCTTCAGCCTTTGGCCCAAGTACTATACATGCTTACGTTGTCGAACTACGGGTGCACTCACATTATGCAATTCGAGTTGAAATCCAAGTTCAATTTAAATTCAACTTCTAGCTTGAATACATATTCAATTCAAATGTGATTATACCATTACGTATCTGGGGCTGAAACTTGATTCAATACGAGTTGAGTCTGAATTTATTAATTGGGGTCCCAAAAATTCGATAGCCTAATCTAAGTACTAGTCGGATCTTCTTGTTTAAACTCGATCCGAATACCGGATAGGGCTGGTGTACTATATTAAGAATGCAACTCCGAACTCTAATTTAAATGTTACACACCTTAGTAAATTGGAAATTTCATCAACTCTTCGATCCCTATATTGTGGGAAACATGTACAAGTCTGTTTTATATACAAGTATCTACTAAAATTGTTTTACATATGAACATACTAATGGTGTCTAACAAGGTTTATGTCCTCTGCAGGAGTGTTCTTGCTGGACCTGTGCATGGTACTGCAAACCAGTCCCCAACGGGCAATGTCTCTGCTTCTAAATTCTGGTGCAGCTGCCGGGTCCTGTCTCTTCCGCTGCAGGTCCTGCCTCTGCTGCTGCTGCCGGTCCTACCTGTGCCGCAGCTCCGGGTCCGTCAAGTGAATCATCTGCATCCGTTGATTGTGCTCATGCACCCATGTAATCAAATTACAAATTTATTCAATGAACCTGCTTCTATCCCCTATTGTGATTATATACCAGTAAAACCAAACCTTATTGTAAGAGTATATATTATGACATGTAAACTTGATTAGTTTGTTATTTCTGATCAATTGGTGTTGGAAGACCGTTACATGAATTGTTATTTCCGCCTACCCTTACATTGAACCTGTTTTATGAAAGTCAAAAAGTATATCATTAGACCACAGCTTGTGGATATGTATCGCATGTAAAAGCAAACATCTGTTTATTATATGTCGAGACTAGAATTTTAGTATTTTAATTTTCTTTTTTTTTTGGACCTCTTTGAACACCCGACTAATCTTACTGGACACAATCTAGTCTCGATTCTAGGCCAAAAGGAGACTTGCATTTCATAAAAAACAACTAAAAATAAAGATCCTATCAATTTCACTGCCGAATTCATCTGATTTTGTTTTTCGCCTATTTCATCCGAGGGTATTTAATTTAACATTAATAGAAATAAATAGAAAAAGTAGAAATTTGTTTTAATAGATAAATCTGCATAATAAATCCAATCCATTCTTTGAACAAAAACATCAAACTCAAAGGTTACCCCTCTAATATATTTATTGTTAATGGTTATATCATTGAGGTTGAGAATATGAAAAAGTCAAAACTACTCAAGCATTCAAGACAAGAGAAAAATGGGTTTGGTGATGTAATAACATGGTTCCCAAAAAATGCTTAGACAAAATTTTGTTGAGTTGATGTAATAACATGGTTGCAAGCATTTGCAGTGAAAATAAATGGAACGAAAAAATGTTACGAGAATAAGAGTGGGAATGAACTAATGTTCTGTAGTCTGCCAACGCACAAAGCAGAGTTACTAACTGGTGGACAGTAAACAGTAGACAGATACATATGCGCACGCGCGCGCGCGTGTGTCTGTGTGAGAGAGAGAGAGAGAATTTCCAAAGAAATAAGGACTGACAACTCCAACTTTCCAAAAAATCCAATCAGGTAGGAGGAAGCAGAACAAGGCTGTTAACTTACAAAATTACAATGAGTATTTATAAAATAGAAACCCGCCATAACAAAAACCTATAGAAGATGATGCAGATACAAACAAACACTAAAGTTTGAATTCCATCTCGAACTTTAGCGCATGTAAAATAATACTCAGGAAGGATGAGACACAGTTTCAGAATTTACCAACTGCTTCCTTTTAAATTCTCTATGAACGACGATTGAAGTTGCCACCTTCAACACATGACTTTCCACCAAAAATCTGCATATGCATCTCACACTGATAATTTAGGAAATTTCATCATTAGACTTGCTACCTCCAAGGCAGAAAGGTTCTATGACAGCTCAACAATTTTCGGTCGCTTCTTTTGCTGCTGATCTTTCAATGTTTCACTCGAAGGATCTCCATCAGTAAGCTTAGGTCTTTTAAGCTTTTCAGGAGAGCATGTGGCATTGTTGTCGTCGTCGTCATCATCATCAGTCTCTTCATCACTGGTACCTTCTGACTCAGTCCCACTGCTGCTAGCAGGCAGAGGAACAACTGGTTGATACCCAGCTATCGCAGACTCAGCAGCAGCAAGAGCCTCAGGGGTTTGAAGTTCAGCCACACCCAACATCAAATCCTGTAAATTAGATGCACTAACGATCAAATATGGACACACAGAATGCAAGTATCCAAAGAAAATAAGAATAAAACAAACCCCCATTTACCATTTCAATGTATTCAGACTCATGCCCAGTGAGCACTTCAATATCATAGTCAGAATTGTCCTAGATGTTATCAAGCACAATTATCAAGAGACAAAGGATGGAATTTTAATGTACAAGTTGGTTCGGTGGACTAACTAGTAAGCATACCTTCGCATCAAGCTGCAGCCTTTTATTTGATTCAGATAGGACTCCCAAGAAATCCTTCAGTTTCCCCAGAACTGTACGAAGGCAAGATTTTAAGCACCAGATGTAAATAACAAAAACATTCTAAGCTATTAATACGAAAAAACTCAGCACATCTCAAAGGTATTGACACTTCAGACATCGCAAATGTAACACCGATCTTTAACCCTATAAAAGGGGTGAGAGTATGCTATCAACTTAAGTGTTTTTCCCTAATATCAATGTTAAAATCATGCCCTTTTTTTATGTCATTCTTTTTTGTTTGATCAGAAACACCAGAATTTTAGAAAAGAAAATCAGAAATCAGTACAAAGAGGGCTGTAAACACAAGACAGTTTATGTAAGGTTATCTCTGAAACAAGTGAGAAATTAGGTTAGGGCAGGAGGGTGGCAGAGTTGTGAGACCAAAGAAAAGTGTAACACCTTTCAGTTCCTAAATCATCTAATCAAAGAGAGGCATGAGAGAGATTTTTGATACAGAATCCTCATGAAAATGGTCAATTTAGTCAGATTTGAAACCAATACTTAAATTTTGAGATGAATTTTAGTTGGAAATATGAGCTGTAAAAGCTTCAAGGAAGGGGTAGCTTTTAGAGCTTAAAATGAAAGCTGGGGAGGTTTTGAAGCAAAATCTTGAGAGGACCAGCAATTTAGAATTCTAGATTTTTTTTCTTAGGAAAAATGATTCCTACCTCTATAAATTCTATCCCGAAACAAACTGCCATATAGAAGTGAAACTGAGATTCACAAATATCTTCTTGAAGGACACCTAGGACCATAATGCTGTTATATATCATTTAAATTAATCATCTACTTTCACATTTTTTTGTTTTTTCTATTAGTTTCTTTTACAACCACCACACAATAGAGTTTATTCATTTTGCTATGCTACCTGGTGAATCATGCAAACCTCTTCTTTTCATCTTGTTCTGCTGAGAAATTCCATAAGATAGAAGGGTGGTCATGCCTTACCTCCAATTGTTCCCATTTGGAAACAATTTTACTTTTGAAAATTCTCTTCAGAATGGTTTGGCTTTGCTTTAAACATCAGTTTTCCCAACAAATTCGTGGTATCATAAATTAGGCTGCAGTTTCATATAGTTACATAACACATTATAAAATGAAATATTACCCGGTTGTCCCCGAAAAATTATGTAATCAAACACAAACACACATATAAATTCAAGCATAAAATGACACACACACACACACAAACACACATTAAAATATCAAAAACACAGAGAGAGAATAAAGAACCTTGGCTTTTGGGAACTGAGGCAATTGCTGGCTTCCCAATTGGAGGTTGGGGTTTTGTGACTCGATAGTTTGAAAATGCATTGCTTTTGCAAACAAGAAATGTAGATTCTACAGATTGAAAAAGAAACCAAAGAGTTATTAATAATGAAAGAAAATGGTGTAGTGCGTGCGTGCATGCGTGCGTGCGTGCGTGAGTGTGTGTGTGTGTGTGTGTGTGTGTGTGTGTGTGAGAGAGAGAGAGAGAGAGAGAAAGAGAGAAACCTATAGAAGAGGAAGATGCTTTGCTGGCCTCCAAGTCTAGAAGAGCCTTGCTGCTATGATCCATCTAACACCCTTAGAGTTAAGGCAACACCGTCTGAAAGGTTTTGGGGGAGAAAAGAGGTGAGTGTAGGTTATGTAGGAGTACTACAGCTGTGGCGGCTGTTTTGGGTTGTCAATAGGAATGTGAACAGTAAAATTGGTTGGGAAAAATAACTAGCTTTGACTAGGAATCACTCTTACGCTGCGTTTGGTATCCAGCAATGCATTTATGTAAGAATAGAATGGACATGGGAATAGAATGAAATGTTTATTACCATTCCAATGTTTGGCAATTAATTAGGATTAAGTCTTAAAATAATTTCTATTGGAATGGAATGAAATTTAAACAAAATAATTTTTTATCATAAAATTTTCAACTTATTGCATACTTCATTATAATGAATGTTTCTGTTAATTTTAAAATTTGACAAATTAGATTAAATATGTAACAAATATAGTCACAAAGAATCACATAACGAAAAAATACACTAAAAAATAATAAAAATCAATAATAAACAACAAATAAAAAAAATAGAAATGTGATACGTTCATCAATATCCTACATAATCTTTCATGAAGGGTACTCATTCAACACACAATAGCTATGATCAACCTACAAAATGTGTGCCTATTCACATATGAGAGATTAATAAATTCATTTCATCACAACCTGAACACGGTTATTGGCATAAATTCTATTGAAGTGGGTGACCAACATACATGCCCTTTACCAGTTTACCATCAGAATTAAAGTGGGAGAGATAAAACTCATTTCCAAGAATCAAAAATCCATTCTGCCTAAAAACAGTAGTGACAATTATACTGCTAATTTGACAGCACTTCAACTGCATAAAATATAGCACAGATATTCCATGAATAACTGGATAACAAAAGCATTGTTTAGGCTGATAAATTGGACTTCCCAAATACTTAAAAAAACTAAAGTTAATTACTTAGAACCATTAGATCATTGTACCCACATTTATTACTAAACAGCTCAACTTGAATTGGTACAAATAATCACAAAATCACATAAATAACATAAGTGGCTAAACAAAAGTTCATTACCGTGTTAGATTTCCCCTCATTGAGGATGCTCAGAGGGATGAACCGAATATATATCCAACTAAAGAACAGCCAGAAAATTTTACATTCGAATACAAGGCCAAGACAACTTTGAGCAAAAAATTAAATTAGTAATTCTTTTTCTCTGTGACAGTGAGTTTTGCAGTAGTAACTCAATCACATCATATTTGTGCGTTTTGTCTTTCAGATGATAGTGGTTCAGCCAGAAAATTTGATAAGAAACAGAAATTAAAAAGAAAACATAGATCAACTCAAAAAGCCCTTACTTTGAACACAAACAGATGCTTCGTCATCTAAATTCAGCTAAATCTAAAGTCTCAGGCATTTCTCTAATTTCTCTCTCTCTCCCTCTCTCTCCCTCTCTCTCTCTCCCCTCAAAACCCACATTATAAAATTCGTTCAGATTTCAAATTTGTAACTCAAAACCTGGTTAATTAAGTATCACGCAAAATTATTATATTCCAAACTCAGGTTGAAATTCTATCGAACCTCCCAAAACACAAGTCTACCAAAGAAACCAATTCAACAATTCATTACAAGTACATGGTCAAACAACTGACGAAGAAAATTTCTGAAAAGAAGGGATCTGGCATCTGAAAAAAAAAAAAGATGCAACTAAAAGGACCACAATCAAGACATACAACAAGCAATCGACAAAAAATAATTACTAGTTGTTGAAAAAATTTATGCAAAAAACTCAAAAAGAGCAACAGTTCAGAAAAAAAGTTAAACCCCTCTAAGTAAAGACAATTTCAAAAACTTCAAAACGAAACCCACAAATTATCTGTCATTTCAAAAACCGAAAACTTCTCAGTCCAAACACTAATAACCCACACACCAAAATTCAAAAAAAAAAAAAAAAGATCAGCAAAAGTGAAGTGTTCACCTCGATCGAAAGCTGGTTTGAAATCTTTACAGAGATGGAGTCTCAGATCTCATAGAAAGAGAGAGACGCAGATCTGATGAGAGTTTACGAGAGAGACACGCAGATAACACGAGACGAGAGGAGACGAGAGAAACTGCTCCATGGTTCATTCGAGCGATCGGGCTTTTTTTTTGTATCACACGTATTGGGCTATTACCGAGGGGATTGGGAATGTACAATACACGTTGGTTTTGGTAATGTCAAATCTCATAATTTGTGAGGTTATGTATACTTTTGGAATGAGAATGAATTTTAAATTCTGTAAATCAAACATTATAATAGGCATTCTCATAGAATGTTCATTCCATTTCTAAGACCTAATATCATGTATTAAACGCAATGTAAGTACTCTTATTCCTAAAAGATTAGGATTTCAAAGTCTCTAGAACTGTAAAAATTCTATATTAATAGAAGTTAAAAAATTAAAACAAACTAGAACTAGAACTCTAAATTCTAGCATATACAATCCTAGAGTTTGACCCCAAAAGACAACCCACGAGTCAGATTATGATTCATTTCAGAAATTCTAAAAATTACAAAAATACTCATGAGTCTAAAATACTATTAAAATGAAATATAAAATACTAATACTAGCAAATTAACTCAAACTAACTTAAAATAAGATTCAAAATACAATAATGTCAGGTGTCATATGGATCTTTATCTTGATGGAAAGCAAATTTCATTCTTTCACATCTTCGAATTTGTATTTCCTCGAGTATCTTATGAATTGCATCATTCTCTCTTGGTTGGAGAAAACTTGACATAGAGTTTTAAAATGTTACAGTATAAAAGTCCACAAGTTTTAAACTTGCATCCTTCTTTTCTTTATGAACTGGGAAAATAAGAAAAAAATTGAAGATTAATCTTCTCAATTCGTTTGTGAACTTCTCTAGAATCACAAAATCAATTGGTAAAGCAAAGTAAATAAAAAGAACATCCTTGAATTGACGTTGCACAGTAGGACTTGTAGCATGCCTTTCAATTGAAACCTTCCCCTTGTTCATGATCGTCGTATCTTCTTTTGCTACAACCTTAAACTTCTCTTATTTGTTGTTAGAGTATGATAGCATTGGCGGATTTTTATTCTCACTTAAACTCTTGGAAGATACAAACAAAGCAAGCCCTTGAGACAACGTTATTATCGATTAAAAGCCATCAATATAAGGAATTTCATTAGGCAACTCTTTTGGCACTATTTCGGAGCACTTAGCAAGCAACTTAGTCATGTCTAAAGACAACTTTTATTCAATGTTAGCTGTTGTTTTTTCAATATTCTTAAACTCCACGACATAATTATTTTTAGAATACCTGTTTTTATCATCAGTCTTCAAACAAATAATTAGTGAACTGCCCCGAGACTGTGTAATCATATACTTGATCTCCTCCACCCTAAATTATTTGATCACTTATTGCTTTGGGCTATTTTTGATGACCCTTCTCTAACTGCACCTTAGAATGCAAAAAAAAAAAAAATTGAGTTTTTGCTCTATTGGAAAAAGAAACCCTTGATGTACATGTTTGGTGAAGGAAATTTAGGTACATCTCCGTACCAAGTGCCACTTGAAATGCGTGCTCTATGTTGTATAGTGGCTGCCCAAGTAATTTTGATGTTATATTTGCCCTTAAACCAGCCTTGAATCGAGCAATTGTTTTGCAAGGGTCTTCTACGATACGATTCTTTAACATTAGGTGTTCATATATTTGAATATATTCCATGACAGATAGGTTACCTTGTTGTAGATTAAGAAGTTGTTTGCACAACTTGTTAGGATAGTCTAAGGGCATATACTTTTTTTTAAACTTAGCTTTTGATGGGTCAAGCCCAAGAAGACCCCAATTTATTTGGAAAACTCAAACCTCAATTGAAGAGTCCAATCTTATAAAGACCCACTAAGTCCAATATTGTCCAAGTCTAGTTTCATCAGTTCGGCTATGTCATCAAGAGAGAGAAAGGGGACGGGAGCCTTACCTACACCACCAAGGAAACAGTCCACCCTCACCTTATCTTTGACCACATCTCATGGAGAGCATCTCAACCATCTCGCCCGTTGAGAAGAAGTCGTGAGCTCTACCAAAATAATTGCTTAGTTGTTGTAAAATAGCCCCAACCTGTTAGGGGGCCACTATAAATTGCACGCCCACCAACACTTGGGGGGGCATCACACTTCACCTGAGCACGACTTTCTCCTCTCCCTCAAAGCTTATACTCTCTGCTCCCTACACCCTTAAGTTAATAAAATACTCGACAACCAGAGCTATTGAAGAGTGGACGTAGGTCGAGCTGACCGAACCACTATAAATTGTCTGGGTCTCTCCATCTCCTGATATTTTTTTCTTGCATTTATTATTCACACTTGACAGGTGGTGTGCAAAACTATTTTGTGCATCATCAGTTTGGTGTCATCTGTGAGAAAGCGATAAAATTCTTATTCCTGAACATTTCATTTGCTGAACCAATGACGATCACAACCAGATCCATGAACCAACATGAAGACAATCCATTACGAGAGGAGAAGATTGCTCCTCCACCTACCAATCCTGTCCCAAATGCTCCAGCTGTAAATCCACAGTAAATGCTAGAGACCATGCAGCAGCTGGTGGCCCAAAATCAGCAGATACTACAACTTATGCTAGTTGGACGAGGAGGAGCACAACTTGGAGGTGCACAACATGGAGGACCCCAAAGAGCTCCACGCCCTGGGCATCAAGGAGCTCCACACTCTGTTGTACCACACCTAGGCACCCCTACTGGCACCCCCCTTAGAGT